AGAGCTCTGCTGGAATGCATAGTGTCTCCACAGTTCATGCCATTAAGGAACCCTGGAGCAGACTTGGCCTTTCGCCCTGGCATTTGTAGAGGGTCATGGATGAGCCCAAGATATATGGCTTCTCTGTTCCTGCATCCTCTTCCCAGACTGAATCACCCATCAGACATCCCCAGAGGCTGCATTCTGTCCGCCAAACTATCTGTGGTTTCCATCAGGGAGGTCCTGATACCCTCAAGCTTTGGGAGAGAACAAAAGGTAGATCTTTACCAGCCTTTATCATTATTATTATTATTATTATTATTATTATTATTATAATCATCATCATCTTTTAACATTCTAGGAATTCAATCTAGGGGTGCCTTACCACTGAGATGCATCCCCATTTTTTTTCTTGACACAGGGTCTCATTATGTTGCTGCACAGGGTGGCCTGGAAACTAATGCTCATGATCTCCAACCTGTGATACCCTTGCCTCTGTCCCCTAAATGCTGCAATTACAGGAATGTGCCACAGGGCCCAGCTCATTTAGATCTAAAACATAATATATGGCAATTTTCTTTGTGTCTTTATCTTCACATAGCCATTAGCTTTTTATTTTGAGGCAATGTCACAAAATTACCCAGGAACGCTGGGTGTGGTGGTACACACCTATAATCCTAGCACTTGGAAGGCTGAGGCAGGAGAATGGCATATGTTCAAAGCCAGCCTGGGCTACCTAGTGAGACCTTGTCTCAAAAAAAAGTATTGCCCAGGCTGGCTTGGAAGTTGTGAGCCACTTGCCTCAGCCTCCTCAGTAGCTAAGATTATAAGTGTCCCCCAGAGTGCCCAGCTAGATCACTGTCCTTCTTATAACCTAATACTACTCACTCAGTCATCTTCATGCTCCCTCTCCAAGGCCAATCATCAGTCCTCATCCTCAAAACTTTAGAGGTCAGGACTTCAACTCAGGACCAGATGGTAACTAAAAGTTTGACAATAGATAGTGGTAGAGACTAGTAAAGTAGAACAGGCCAATCTACCTGATGTATTTGAATTTACTTCATAAAGGCAGAAGAAATGTCTAAATTTGGCCAGTGTGTCACCAGATTCATCTTTGGCCTCAGATACTCAAAAACAAAACAAAACGAAAAAAACGTCTAGGTCCTTATAAGAAGTTGGCTATGTGAAGATGAAGACACAAAGAAAATTGTCATATATTATGGTTTAGATCTAAAATGTCTTTCCAAAGTGTCTTCTGTTCACAGTTTGGAAGGTTATTGGATCATGAAGTTTTTTACTTCATCGGTGAATTAATCCCTTGATGAGATCATAATTTGATGGCAGTATTAGGAGGTGAGGTCGAGTTGAAGGAGTAGGTCATGGGGGTATAACCTTGGGAACTATTTCATGTCTTGGGTCTCTTCTTCTCTGGCTCTAATTCCAGATGACAAAAAATGAGCAGCTCTGCTCTTTGTGTCCAATTTTTTCTTCCCTCACGCCCTTCTGCCACGATGCTTCTGCCTCACCACAGACTCAGGAACCATGGAGCCGGCTGACCATGGACTGAGACCTCCGAAACTGTGAGCCGAAGTAAACCTTCCCATCTTTAACTAGTTTTTCTGGAGTATTTTGCCATGTGATGATGAAAGATGAAGCCCCAGAATGTCAAAATTGCCAGCAAACCAGGGTCTGGAAAGAGGCCACAAAGGCTCCCCTAGAGATTTCAGAGGGACCAGGCCGCCAACACCCTCAGACTGTATAACTCTGAAAGAACACATTTCTCTTGTCTCAGGCCAAATGATAATAACAGTGTCCTATAATTCTTCCCAGGGAAACATTAGAATGGAAGGAGGGTGATGATCTCTCTTGCTTTCATGTTTATGAGGCCACAGCCAAGTACATGAGATACAGTTAATTTTTTCCATCAGTTCTAACGTCCTCACAAATCACTCTGCCTCAGAGGATACTCTCAGGGACTGGGGTCAGTCATGAGGCCTGCCCTCCCCAGACGGAGAACACATCCCAGCCAACCCATCCGTTTGCAGCCTCACACTGAGCCACGTGCCGGGGAAAGGGTGCTGCTCACCACTGAGTGTGGGGAGTTCCTGCCCTTGTCCCCTTTGAAATGCCCGCACTTCGTCCCTGGGAGCAGCTCTCTTTCATACAAAATGGCCCTCCACAGGGAAAGTCACTTTCATCAACTCACTGCCACAGTGGCATGATTAGGGTGCATTTAAAATGTAATTAAATCGTTCTGTTGAACATTAGGACTTCTGCTGGGCTGCTGAGGAGAAATCCATAATTGGGTCCTTGGAAAGCTTCAGTCACTTCAATGGCAGACTGCAGTGACAGAAACAGGAGGCCAAGGGCAGGGGACAGCCACCATGCTCTCATCTCTGCCCACTGTCCTTGAAAAAGGAGAGTTTGGTGAATCTGAGCTCCTGGCTCATTACCAGAGGGGTAGTTGAGTTGTCTACTTGCCCTCTCAGGTTCATATGTGAAGTCCTAATTTCCAGTATCTCAGAATGTAGCTTTATTTGGAGATAGGCTCTTTACAGAGACAATCAGGTAAAATGAGGTGATTAAGGTGGGCCCTACTCCAGTAAGACCTATGTCCTTATAAGATAGGGAATTTTGGACATAAAGACAGGATAGAGAGAAGATGGTATGAAGAGCCACAGGAGGACAAGGTGGCAATCTATAAGCCAAGGAGAGGGGCTGAACACACTTGATGCCATGACTTTTATTTTTTGGCTTAAAGCCTCTAGAGCTGACAAAAACTTGAAGCCCCCAGTCTGCAGCACCGTGCTAGGGCCTCCCTAGCAAGCCAATGCAGGCTGCCACGCCTGCTTCTCAAGACCCATCCCCAGAGCCTGGTCGCCACTGAAATGCCACATCACTGGCCATTCTTCATGCACCGTGATAATAACAGTAATGAAAGCAGATGACGATGAATACAGAGGGCAGGAATGAGAAAGAGGAAGAAAGATGTTTAACCGCTCAGAGGCAGCAAATCCCCTCTTTGTCACATGTCAGTTGGACATTCTGACTTTTACACAGAAAACAAAGCAGGCATCCAGAGTACCCAACTTTCTGGCTCCAGCTGGTCCCGAAATCAAAGCTTTTATAAAAGCAGTGTCGGGTTATTGGAATCCGAATAATGCCCATGCTGGAACCAAAAGGCCAAAAACTTAACATTCATAAGGGGTTGTCCTGTCTGCATGGGTGATCTAATCACTACTTTTTTTTATTTCTATCCCAGCATCAAATAAACATTTTTATCCCTTAGATTCATTGGAAGCAGCTCTCTCCCCAATATGCACATGCTAATGTACTTTCTGCCAGCCAGTGTTTTCAGAAAGCATTCTCAGTCTTTGACAGGTAGGAAATTTGCATTTCCATTAGTGAGGCCTTTGTCAATTGTGAGTCATAAAAGCCCCAGAAGAATAGGGTTGGGGGGAATGTATTGTACTTTAAAAAGGAGACTTTATTGCAAGGTTCAAGGAAAGGTACCGAAGGAGATAAAGGCTGCAGAGCAAGGCTGTGGGAGGAGGGGCGCTCACAATGAGGAGGAGCCTGTTAATGCAAGGGCCTGTCACTGGACCACGAGAGGGGAGGCAAGTCTGAATGTGACTCTAATAACTTTGCAATTTCTTGTGTTTAATATTAAAATAATACACTCGTCGAGGGTGATAAGGGGCATTCGGTGCTGCCAGCCCAGGACAAGTGTTTTTAGCTGCTGCTCCATTAGCTGCGGCTATAATCTTCTCATTTAAAATTGCTCCTGTTCAGGGTGGCAGCCGCTCTGGCAGGGCTGAAGGTTTGATTTGTGTATGTGATTTGTTTTACTCTTTATGTTGGCACAGTCAAGATGCCCAAGAAAAATAAAAGCTCAAGAATCCCCAGCAGCGAAAAGAATGTTGTGAGGAGCACCGCTTCATTTGTTATCTTATTTGCCCTTCAAACTCTGTCCCTAAACACTTACACAGTTAAATAATTCAGCTGCCATACTAAATACTGGAGAGGAGCTGGCAGAAGGGATGATATCGTGAAACCGGGGCTGGAAAGACAAGCCTTTCCTAAGAAGCCAGCAAATCCGGATACAGAGGAGGAGCAGCAAGATATTGCTCCAAGTGGACCTCTGACCTTTCCAACGCCCTCCCATGCAGAGGATGCAGAGGAAGGGTGTGAGCAGAGGCTGAATGACCAGCACAAGAGCACACGGCTCATTAGCGTGGGCAAGACCCAGATTCCCACTTCTCTTGGCTCACAGGGCAGGGTTTGTTCCATACATATGCTGTTTCCTCCTGCCATTTCTCTTTCATTCATGCACAAATATTTACTGAGTGATTATACTAGGCTCTGAGGAGACAAGGGGATGAGGATAGACCTAAGCCCTACTCTCATGGGAAGGTTCCTCTGTTAGTCAGGAAGAGAGTGAATAAAGGAGGAAGCCAGTGTTACATGTGCTGATGTCAGATAATGACATGTGCCATCGAGAGAACAAAAGGATCATGGGAAAGAGTTGGAGTGAGGGCCAATTTGGTGAGGGTGGGAAGGCTATCTAGGGAGGGAAGCAGAGCCATGCGTGATAATAAACTCAGTTCCAGACAGTGAGAAAGCTACTTTCAAGTCCCCAAAGCTCGATCAAGTTTGGTGTCCACATAGCAGCAAGATCCCTGAGTGTCAGTGGTAGTGACCTGAATCACAGCTGGAGAGGAAGAGGCCAGATCCTGGGTCATGGAGAGCTTAGTGTGAGCCTAGCTCAATGGGAAACCAGCAGAAGATACTAAGAAAGAAGCAACATAGTTTGATTTATTTTTTGTAAAGCTCCCATAGGCATTAACAGTGGGTTCTAGGCAAGCAAAATATAGAGATCATTACGATATTGCCTCAGCCAGGCTGCTGGGGGCTTGAAGGACCCTTCCCAACCCCACCAAATAGCATAGCTCTTTCTTGCCCAAGTGTGGCAACATTGAGAATAAATAATGGAGGTTAACATGTCATCCTTTTATTGATACCGTGTCTTCGTCACTCCCTCGTCGTGAGACACAGTACCTGACCCCTGCAGCTGTGAGGAGGAGAGGGTTATTTTGGCTCACGGTTTCAGTCCATAGTCAGCAGGCTCCAGGGCAGGAAGAGCACGATGGAAGGACCTGGGGAAAAGATGGCTGCTCATCCCACGGCAGTTGGGAAGCAGAGGGAGAAGGGAGAAGCTGGGGAGGGAGATAGACCCGGTCAGGGCACACCCCTCTCAAGATAGTCTGTCTCTTCCACCAGGGCCCTCCCTCCTAAAAGTACTCCCAGCTACCAGTGAATTAGTGGATCAATCCATTGATGAGTACTAGTGCTCCATGATCCAACCCCCTCCCCAAATCCCCACTTTGGGACACATGAGCCTTTCAGAGGTCATTCTGGATCTAACCACAACATACAGCTGGGAAAGAGCCAAAGGCTTCCAAATATGGACCTCCACGGTGGGCCAGTCCTACACTCCACAGAGTTGCAGAAGAAGTGGCCCTTGGCAGTGTGGCTGAGAACACCAGCTCCTTGCAGGCCATGCTTTCAGGAGCAAGAAGGGTGAAGTTGAGTTTCCCAGCTCACAAAAGCCTGTCCTACGGATGGAGCAAAGCAGGAGAGAAGGCAGGAGTGACACTGACTGAGCCTCTGGCATAGGAGGAAATGGCAGACATGGAGGAGAGACACTGCAGGTGAAGGAGGACAGTGAGTTGGTGCCTGATGTTACACCCCATAACTTATGGATGCAAAACTATTTCTTGCCAGGTATTGTGCTGGCTGGTCCAGAGCCCCGCTGAGGGCTCACCCACAGTTTAACCTCTCCGCAGGAGATGGTTATTAATTATCATGTTAATCTCCAGGGAGGCGGCAGTCAATCATCCTCTCAATCAGGAATTTAAGCTATCTCAACATCGTCTGTCCTTTATGGAGGTGAAGGGGCTCCTACTTACCTTGTCGCAGCTCCTTGTACACTGAGGAATGAGACTATGTGTTTTGCAGTTCTTACATTTCTCCTTTACAAGTTAAACAACTTCCAATTCCTTTATAACCTTTGCACATTTCTGCTTTTGATTTGCAGCAGTTTTACTTGATTGCTCTTAGAATTCAGAGAGCAAAGCTCACATGAAATCCTGTCACCGAACCTGACCTCCGCTGTGTGTGTACAGCCTCCAGATTGCTCCCTGGTGACAGTATTTCCTCCCGGCTCATCCTGGCCTCATGTGCTCTCTGTCAATACTGCTGCAACACCAGCTATCACATTCAGCTTCAGAGACCCCCATATCTCCAAGATTCTGTCTGTTATTCCACCTCCCACCTGGATCTGCATAAAATAGCTTGTTTTTAATTCTTAAAAGCATGTTATCTGTGGTATTACTGAAAGACACCTTGTTATTCATCATGTTTGTCTGATTTAACTAGGCTGTCTTGACTTGTTATTTTCAGAACCTGGCCATTTGGAGGTATCTGCCGAGCCTCAGGAAAAGGCCTCCCCTGCTGCCTTCAGCCTCACAGGGAGCCCAAACTGCAGGGCCTCCTTGACTTTAAGGAAGCAACCAGCCGGTCAAGGCTATTCATCATTGCCCTACTCTGCTGTGGGCTAGCATTTCCCAAACTGGAGGTTCTGGGGACATTTGGAAAGCACCACCAATCATGGATATAAGAATATGAGCTTCTCAGAAATGGGCTGTTGGGCTAGAGACATAGCTCGGTGGCAAAGTGCTTGCTTGCCTCGCATATGTGAGGCTTTGGGTTTGATCCTAAGAAAGAAAGAAAGAAAGAAAGAAAGAAAGAAAGAAGGAAAGCAAGCAAATGAGCCAACTCCAAGTTCACTCGATCAGCCACCCAACTGGCCATTACTCCCTCCCACGAGCATTCTGCAATATACTTACTTCCTCATGTATTCTAGACCCTGAAGGCCCACTCCCTCCTCTGGGATCCCTTGCTAGCTGTGGCCCTGGCCAGAATGCTCTTCCTCTTCCAAGTCATTGACACCTTTCTGCTCCCACATTCCAACTTCTTAAGCCTTCCCCGAATATTGGAACTGTGAAAGTGAGGTGTGCTTCCTCCAGATCTGCCCCCAGCCCCTATATTTTCTGTGCACAGACCTCTGAAGCAGTGCTGCCCAGCAGAACTTTCAGAAATGTGGACAGTGTTCTGTTTGCTCCTGTCTAATATGGCAACTACAAGCCATACTTGAAAACTGGCTGGTAAGACTGAAGAACTAAATTTTAAATTTTATTAAATTTAAATCTAAATGGTCACACGCAGTTAGCTCCCGGCTAATTCATCTAGCAGCTGGATGTTGAGATTCAGGTTAACTTGGAAGCCACACATTACAGATGGCAGAGGCTCTGATGGGGTGAGGCCCTGAATGACTGTGGAGCAGAGCACTCCTGCCACACCCTTCTGTCCATCAGGAAACTGGTGGGAGAGAATGGTAAGCCACTCAGATTTTGCAGTTTATCTATTAGAGCAGCTACTGTCACCTTGACAAACCAGGGCACTGTGCCAGGCCCTTAGCAAAGCAGTCAGTAACCTGCCATTGCAGATATGAAGATAAGTAAGATGTGGACCTTGACCTCTGGGAGCTCCCACTCAGGTTGATGCCTGGCCCACAGGATATATCCAACACTATCTGTAGGATGGATGATGTATTATTTCAATGTTTTGTACTTGTTTTTCAGCTAAGTTAGAAACTCTTTGACTTCATGCCTCCCATGTCATGGACATTGTACATACTGTATCACTGCAGTATTGTGAAATATATATTTAGTCTTCATTCCCATTTCCTGGCATACAACTCCAAAAACACTCAGAATCTCTGAAGTCCTTGGGAATAACCCAAATGCCCATTAACTGAGGAATGGATAAAATAGATGTGGTCTTTTATACAATAGAGTACTACTCAGCCATTGAGAAGGATAAACTGGAGACTTCTGTAGGTAAATGGATGCAACTCGAGGTCATACTCATAAGTATAAATCAGACTCACATGTGTAAATATTGTATTATCTCCCTAGTGTGAGAAGCTGAAAGAGTAAATAAGATCCAAAATGTACAATAGATACTGTGCAATGGGAAGATACAGTTCAAAAGGAAAGAGAAACTGGGATGGGGGAAAGGAGAAAAGTAAGGGAAAAGAAAAAAAAATACATATATACATATACGTAATAGTTAAGATCATTACACTACTAATTGCTCTTAGTTCATTGAAAAGAAAGGTTTGTGCTAATATTGTTTGGACAACTTAATGCCAATATCTTGTACTCTGAGTAACTAATTTAAGGATAGCAATATGCAATGTTTCAACCATTGTTACTCTCCTATTATCTTGTTTCAATTTTGGGGTTTTTTTCTCTTTAAAATAAAATTTAAAAAAAAGAATCTCTGAAATGAAAGTACCTTTTTATATGCTACTGAGTTGACAGGTGGCTGGCATATTCTAGGCAGCTTCTGGTTGGGGATGGTCATCAGAAAGACCCAGATGGGAATATAGGGCTGGGACCTGCAATCCTGCTCCCTATCCTTAGGGAAAAGATGAGAGGCCAAAAGTTAAGTTGATGACTAGTAGCCGATGATCCAGCAAGTCTATGTAAGAAGGCCTCCAGGAGGAGCAGGTGCAGGGAGCTTTGGGCAGCTGAGCGTAGGAGGCTCCCAGCAAGGGGCTGTGAACTCCACATTCCACACCTTACCTTGTGCTTCTCTTCAACTGTGTCCTTTGTAATATCCTTTGCAACAAACTGGGAAGTGTGCTTCCTTGAAATCTGTGAGCCACTCTAGCAAATTAATGTATCCAAGGAGGGTGTTGGAAGAACCCTGATACATAGCTGAGTTGGTTAGAAACAGATAAAACAACCTGGGGCTAGTAATTGACATCTGAAGTGTGTGTGTGTGTGTATGTGTGTGTGGTGGTGGTGGGAGTCCTCGGGGAGCTGAGCCCTCCACCTGTGGGATCTGACTCTTTCTCCAGGTAGACAGTGTCAGAACTGCCTTGGAGTAGAGGAATGCCAAGCTGATGTCACCTGCAGAGCTGCAGGAGAAATCCTCACACCTTCTGAGCCCTCAGTCCTTCTGAGCTGTGAAAACAGAGGAAAAGCGGTTTGATTTTCAGCAGTTTGCTTTTCCTACACTATTACATATGTTGTGGATAGCACCCAGCAAACATCAGGGACTCGGGAGTGAATGAATGCATGCAGGCATGAATGAAGCAATTCCTGAATGAATGAATAGGTGGAGTCAGAAGCCCCAGGACAAAGCCCTCTCTCCAGTGCTTCTGCCTTCCTCCCCACCATGACTCCCCTCTTGTACATTTCCTTCACTTCTCAGCTCTATCTTTCCTTCATCACTCATGAGAAATTGCCCATTAGATGTTTCTGTCTTTCTTCCCTTCCCCAAGGTGTGGATATGCTCTGTCACAGGTTGAACTGTGTCCTCTCCAGATTTATGCTGAAATCCTACCTAGTCCCTCAGTATTTGACTCTATCAGGAACCAGGCTTGGGGGAGATGCAATAATTAGTTATGCTGGGATAAGATTAGCCTGGAGAAGGGTGGGGCCCTGAGACAAATGACTGGTGTCCTCATAAAAGGGGGGAAACGTGTCAGGGACAGACACCCAGAAACAGCATCATAGGAAGAAAAAGACAGAGACGGGGTGATGGTTTGACAAACCAAGCAAGGAACGCCAGTGATTGCCAGCAAATCACCAGAAACCAGAGGAAAAGCATAGAACAATTTCTTCTTCACAGCCCTCAGGAGGAATCAGTCCTGCTGACACCCGGATTGGGGACTTCTGGCCTCTGAAACTTTGAAATGATGCATTTGTGTTGTTTAATCCACCTGTTTGTGCTACTCTGTGGCAGCCTAGGAAACTAAAACATGCTTCACTCACCCTTTGATATAAAGGGATAAATTGGTACACAGAGGAAGCTCATGTTCATGGGGGATCTGTTCCGCTGGCAAGCTAGCTGGAAGAGCATCAAGATCTCCCCTCCAGGAGTGCCCGGGTTTTACGTACATATTCCCTGGCTTCAAGTTTTCTGTCCTTACTTTCCTGATGAATTCATATGACTCTTATTTTTCACATGCTACTATTTCATTATTCTTTAGATGAGAGAACACAGTCGCAGTATTCATCATCATCATCATCATCATCATCAAAAATGTTAGGAAATTTCCATTCCATTGTGCCAGGGGCTCAGAAAGCCAATTAAAAAGAACTGACTCTTGTTTTCTGGGACATTGAGTCCAAGGCCGGCATGTTGACACAACAATGTCATTTACTTGAATTTGCTAAGTGAGCACCTATTCTGCATTATGTGCTGTGGGATGTTTTGTCAAAGCTTTGGAAATTAGTGAGGAGGCTAGCAGAGAAAGAAGTGTGCATCATATTTTATCTTGGTTCCCGCCTGCCTCCTGGGGAGGCGCAGGGTAGAGGGCCATTTGCAAGCACATCGCAGTAATTAGCCAAGGGCATGCGAAAGGCAGGAGAGCGGGCCATCAGTCTCTCTTCCCCACCCCTGCTTGCACCTTCTGCAGCTTGTCTGCAGCCACATTAGGGCCTTGCAGGTGGCCCACTTCAGCCAGCCTGGTCCTGAACAGCAGACCTGCCTTCTTACAACTTGGAAGCCAAATGAAGAAAAATGCCTCTTTCTGCTCAAAGAATGCCGCCTCACCTGGCCACTGCACCGACTACTGGGTGCTGGCAGAGCACGGCTCTGTCTGCCACACTCGGGTGAGCACAGCCACCAGGAGCTGGGCAGTGCTTAGTTCTCGCCCTCATCCAAAAGGCAGCTGCTCCAACAAACCAGAAATTAAAATCAGTACACGCTGTGTGCCAGCTGACAGCCTTTATGAGACAAAATGGCAAAAGCCTCTGCTGCTTCTGGCACTCTGGAGACCCTCAGCTCAAGCCCACGACTTTCCAGGTGTCCTCCCAGCGTTTCCTGCAGACCCCAGCCTTCCCTGGGTGTCCATGAGCCTGGCCCATGGCTCAGGTCTTGTGGT